GTGGAGGGAGACAGACACGAGTTTTGTTTTTGTTTTTTTTCACCATCCGACCGGTACTTAGGAGACTTTCCCTTTTGTTTTGTGTTTTTACACACGTACGCACTTGTTGCTTTGGAAGCGGCTGGTGTCTTTTCCAAGAACAGCGCCTCCGGGATTTATCTGATTTTATTTATCCCATTTGTCTTCCGTGGGGGGGGGGGTGGAAATCTTATTCTAACCCAAAGGCGCGCTTGGGTGGGGGGAACCTCGGTCCAGAAGTGGAAAAACTGAATTCGATTTTGAGATATTTAGCCCCCTTGAATCGCCATTTATTTAAAATGAAGTCAGCGCGGGATATGGAGAAAACTCCAAATTTTAAGTCTACGCCTTTCCTTTTTTTTTCTTTTACCTGGATCTCTTCTACAAAAGGTGTAAAGTTGTTGGTGGCTCTGCTTTACAAATTAACACCTTTTTTTTAAATGATACTTTTCTTTTTTATATTCCAAGCGCTTGGAGCCGAAATCTCTTTCCTTCCCGGCCTGTATATTTTTCGCAGTGTTTTCCGCAGAAAAATTAGTGGAGAAAGACTTAGCCATAATACAACATGCAACATTGTGATCAAAATTAGATATATATTTTTACCTCTTTTTTGGGGGGAAGGATTGAGGTGGGAAGGGAAAAACGTGGTTGTGAAACCCCAGGGTTCAACTCACTTGGAGAAGATTATTTATTCCATGTTTGAGAGGACGTTTTGGAATATTATTTCAAGAAACTCCCCATTGTCTTTCGTATTTTTCCCAGCCCAGCATTAATTCCTTTCGGTTAAATTCTCTTTTGCATGCTTTCTCTAGAGCAGGGATTCTCAATCCTAGCCCCTTGGAAACATGTGGACTTCAACTTCCAGAATCCAGAAACATGTGGACTTCAACTTCCAGAGTCTTATTGACTGAAGGATTCTGGGAGTTGAAGTCCACACTTCTTCTAATGGCAAGACTGAGAAACAGTGACATAAGAGGATTTTAAAGAAGATTCTCTTTCCTGTCCAAAAATGCTGGACTACATTTCTCATCCGGTCCTGCCAGTATACAGAGTGCTGTCTGGGGAAGATGGGTGGGTTTGGTGAAACATGCCTAGAATAATAAGACAGGATCTTTCCCTTTGATTTTAGTGGGTTCATCTACAGTTTTTCCTGAACCCTGTTTGTGAATCAAGAAATCCTCAAAAGAAAAGGGTTGTAAAAAGACTGTAGGTTGCAAAACATGGGTGTTGCAGCATAACAGGTAATCAGCCAATTTGCATGGCTAAAGCAAATCATGGATTAGCATATTGGCCTATTAGCATACAGTCAACATAAAGGGGTGGGGAGGCACTGTTATATCTCCTAACCCAGAAGGACTGAGGGTTTCAGAGGTCTTCTGTGAGTCAGTTTCAGTTTTTTGGCCACCCCCATTTAAAATTTGGGATTAAACTTTATTTCATCAACTTCTGTCTGGGAGAGCAAAAACAGGCACTGGAGCTACTCAAAGCAAACTGGGGGTTTGACACCCTTTCCCTCTTTGGTCCCAAGGACAATGAGTTGGTTTCATTAAAACACACACCTGCACACAGACACAGGGAAACGCAAGCCCATCCAGCTCAGCTTGCAG